AGGATGTTCAAATTTTTTGGGACGCTAGGTTTTTTCTTTTAAACTGTAACTACTACAGATTTGATACTTGGGAAATCGATACAGTATGAAACTGTCTCTTTTTGAGAGTAGTATGATGTTTCCATTGCTTCCAGTTAGTATAAGTTATTCCATTACAAAACGTTATGCCATTAGTTACCAAAATTTGGCCATTACAAGGAGTAGGCTTTGCCTTACGTACAATCTGCTAAGATACATTAATTTGACGTTTCGTTCAAATTACGAAATAACCAAACTCCAGTAATTTGATTTTGCGAAACCTGAAGTGAAATCGTTTGCAATGGTCTTGTATTCAAATGCTGAAATGAGCGATATGGTGTTTATGTACGGCCGTGTCAATGCAAATAGTTTGAGAGCACATCGTTTCTATGCTGAAACATTTTCCAATCGCCGGCTAACAGGGTTGCCAAACAATTCGTGAAAACTACGGGCTATTTGAAAGAGTTCGGGCTTCCTTTGAACGTAGAATGAGAAACTGTATTGATGTTGCTGGTCGACATTTTGAACATCTTCAGTAAAAAGCTTCGTTTTGATTAGTATTAGTATTACGTTGTGTCAATTCAATTTTTCTAATAATTTATTTTTAAAAATGTTTTCTTTTTCGGAAACCTTAAGGAGTACAATTTTTTTTATCGCCAACCGGCAGCAAAACCATACTTTATGCTATCCATTTGCGGCAGTAAAGTGACACTTTGTGCTACTATCTAGTAAACTGTGCATTTACTGTCAATTTGAAAAAAATGTCGTTGAACAACTGGATTTGAACCCGGTACCTTCTGTATGAAAGCGCACTTCCCTCTCCACTATACTGCCGACCTTTGATACATAGTGTAACTTTACCGAGGTATATTAACAAAACAAATCGTTTGACACATGTTATAATATTGGTAAGTAAGAATATGTTCATATCGTTAAATTTTGCGGTTGGCGATAAAAAGGTTGTATGCAACACGTCAGCAAAGTGTCTTTATCGAACTCGCCTGTTTACTCGCCTCGCTCGACTGTAGTACTACCCCTATAAATATTTAAACGTTGTTTTAAAACACCTGTATATATGAAACAAAAATGAAATTTTTTTTAATAATACCAATAAAACGAAATGTAACGATGCATTAGTAGCTCAGAATATATAAAAAAAATCATGATGATTCAAGCAGGAGGAAGGATTTTAATTTACTCTTGAACGAAATACAGCTCAAACCCATAAGGGCCTCTGGTAGATTATTGTACGTTTTGGCTATCTGGTAGGAAAAGGATCGGTACGAGACGCGGCATGGTACCGTCAATACATCTTTCCTTCTTACATTAATATTATGGACATCGCTTCTGAAATATACGCGTTGCAGCAACTAAGGAGGCCGTTGACTTTTAATACTTCAGATTTTTAATAATGCAGTTTACGTCTGTTCTTCATGTTCAACCACCCAGTCTCTGCAAACTTATGACTAATATGTTCATATTTACGAATACCGTAAATAAACCTTAGACAACCGTTCTGGAGGTTCTGGATACGACGCCCACTCGCCTCCCTTAAATTTGGGCCATAAAGAACGTCGCAGTGATTTAATTTGCTTAGAACCAAGCTATCACACAGCATAATTTTTTATTTAAGACGGAAGGCGCTATACCCACCCCTCAAGCACCTGGCTACATGCTCCTCAAACCTCAACTGATGATCCAAAGTAACTCCGAAAATTTGTCATCCACCACTAATTGACCGGATATCAAAGGTTTAATTGCTCTCCTTGTGACACTACCGCAAAACAGAAGAACAGAAGACTTAGATGGATTAAGCACAAGCTCATGGCGTTTCGCAACATCAGAAAATAATGCTATATCTGAGTTAAATTTTATGCAGGCATTATCCCAATTATTTGGATAAAATTTTAGCAGAAGCTGTGTATCAACTGCATATTAGTGAATCTGCGAATGCTCAAGAACTTGGTCAAAATCAGATGTATAGAGAACAATTGTGGCCCCAAAATGAGGGACTCCACGAGTAATAGATAGAGCGCTCGATATTTGACTATTAATCTTCACAACCTGAGACCTATCCGACAAATGACTTTATCAAAATTACAGCCTGATTTCCAAGACCAAAATAATTAAGTTTAGATGTAAATATATTATGATTTATTGTATCAAATGCTTTGGTGAAAAATCCTTTAGGGCAGAAGGGGAACGGAATTACTTCAACCATCTTCCAAGTATCCGGAAAGACTGATTGATGAATAGCAGCGTTTATTACATGAGTACTATAAGGAATGAGAAAAGGGGTAACAAGTCAATCATCCAGACTGAGATACCATCAGAACCCACCGCTGCAGTTTTAATGTTATTAATTATTATAGGTACTTCATGTTCATCAACAGGCATACAAGCTTGCATTATCTGCACTCTAGGGGTGACATTATTTTGATAAAATCACCCATAAAGTGAAGAATCACCGTGAACAAAATAATTATTTAAATCGTTTGGAAGAAAAATGTTAGGTACTTTGTTATCGATTGTTTTATTTACATTTAAAAGTTTAATATTTCTCCAAAGAGCTTTTGGATATTTACTACGTAAGGCGTAATCACCGTTGATGTTACCAGATTGCGATGCAACTTATATGAAACCCAGTCTTGAGTTAGCTTAGACTTTTGAATTTTTTAAGCGCATCATCTCGAATAGGCATTAGTATTTTAGTATTATCTGTTAGCCAGGGACTGGAAGGCTTTGTAAACCGTCTAGTTTTTAAAGGTGCATGCAAATCCATCAGAGTAAGTAAACAGTTATTAAAAAAAGTTTGTTTGTCCACGAAATTGATTTCAAATCGTTCAAGAATTGTGGAAAATTAATGTTTTTCACATCCATGTATGCACGATAAATTGTAGCAGCCCTACCGATATCAAATGCCAGCTCACATTTTACTAAACTGACCGGCAAAAAAAACCGACCACTATAAATTAGCCACAACTTCAAAGCTGGCTTTCTCGCGAACCACGCATTCGATTTTGACGATTCTTTTTTTAATGGAAAGGTTGATTCTTTTGTAATAATCCTGCGATAGAATTTTCATTCAGATTTTAATTTGAACATATACGGGGTGAGAAAAATGAGAAAACCCTGTGGGGTGCAGCAGCTACAGTAGAGGGTATTACCTGGAATCAAACAGTAGCCCAATCTTTTCTGAGCATTTTCTTTTTTTATTCACTCTATTATCTCTGTTACTAACGAAAATGCAGTATTTTAAAGCGATCGCCTGTGTAAACAAGATGAGTGACAATAGGAGCTGATGACCATTTTATTGTTCTAAGCAATCGTAGAACGACAGCTATAGAAGCTCGGCGTCGTCTTCAAATGGTGCATGTTGTTGATGTCAGTGAGAGAACCATTTGCTGAAAACTTGCTAGAAGTAGTTAGGCTGCAAGAAGGCTGCCAAAGGACCGATGCTGCTTCCAAGATATCGCAGAATATCTTGGATATAACGGTGGGCATTTAGCGTGCCATTTTCAACAAAGATGGCCGCTGTATGCGCTTCCGTCGAAATACGCGCCCATACCATGACCGAACCTCCATGGAAAGGTACTTTTTCTGAAAATGTGCAGGTCGCAAAGCTTTCATTACGACATCTCCACACTCATTCTCGACCATCAGGTGAACGTCATCAGTGAAGAGCACCTTACCCCATTGTTCCATTTCTCAATTCGTATGTACGCACACAAATTGAAGACGTGCTCGCCGATGTCTCTGTAGTAGGCGCTGTGTTTTGGCAGGTTTTCTTGCACCTCACAGGGTATTACAAATTTCGAGAAAAAAAGTTATTCTCATTCTTGCACCCCGTATATGCTCAAATTAATGTCCGAATAAAAATTGTTACAGGATTGTTACAGAAGAATCAACCTTTCGATCAAAAAAAGAATCATCAAAATCGAATGAGTGGTTCGCGAGTAACACAGCTTTGAAATTGTGGCTAAATTTTAGTGGCCGGTATTTTTGCCGGTCAGTGTAGTTCATGATCAGATATATTGGGTACATTTACAACATCGATACTAGTAAACAGCTGATCATTTGTTGTAAAAGCAAGTAAAGTTTGCAAATTTTGTGTAATTCTTGTGGGTTCGATGACTAACTGATATAAGCCAATAGAAGTTGCAAATGAGTGAAGAAGTATTGTTGAGGAAGAATCAGGTTTAAGAAGATCAACATAAAAACCCCCCGCGATAATTGTCAAATAAGATGTAACAATACTCTCACAAAGGGTACTCTCCAGTGTTTCGATAAAAAGAGGAAGATTAAAATTGTTGGGCCTATAAACCACTCCAAAAGTAATACAGAGTTTTTTTCCTGCACCAACGGTAAAAAATAGTTGCTCAATAGAGCAGGAACTGTTTAGAAGCTGAAATCGTACTGAGCTTCTTATGTAAACAGCCACACCTCCACCGCGCCCCTCACCTCATTTCTTACCAGTCTCCTCCTGGACATTTCAGTGCATGCCCAATCTTTTTCTTCCGTTATATTTTTCTTTTGATTTTCAATCTCATTCTTCTAAAATACAATTTCTTTCCAATCTTCCTACTTTCTGTTCATAACTAACACAGTGTCCTACCAAGATCATCAGGAAAGCGTCAAAATAAAATGTTGTCATAAAATAAAACAAACTTAACATTTCAAAATTTTCCTAAAAATACTTCAAACACCTCCTATTCGATATAGTCTTCAATCTTATCTTTCTTAAGGTCGAATACGGAAAGGATTCGTGAAAGGTACAAGTTTCCCAGCAATAGTAATCATTTTCTGTGCTTCTATTCTATGGCAGCTTATGGCACAATTGTAGAAATAAGCTTCTTGAGTTGGAAGAGTGTCCTTTATCGAAAAACTGTGTTTACATAAAACTACTGAATCTGTCTCTTTCAAGTTTCTTCCTTTCTGGAAAGTTTTTTCAGTATCGTTGCTTCTTTATCTAGACCCTTTCTTATCTTTATAGCATTTTTTCTCTCCACCCAGTTCCTTCCTTGTCTTTACAGTCTCTGTTCTATCTCTGCTCTCCGTTGCAAGATTCATTTTTCTTCCCATCCCTTTCTTGCCATTACGCTTTGAACCCAGTTTTTCTCTTCCCAGTCCATTTTTTACCAGTCTCCTCCTGTACTTTTCACTGCATGTCCAATCTTTTTCTTCTGTTTTTCTCTTGATTTCCAATCCCAATCCTCTCAAATACTTTTTTTTTTAATCTCCCTATTTTCTGTCTATTACTAACATCGATAGACACAACTATCACCGATTTCGGTGTCCTACTAAAATCATCAGGAAACCGTCAAAATAAAATGTCATAAAATAAAACAAACTTAACATTTCAAAATTATTTTATTACATTGACTTCTTTTTATCGATTTTTTGTATATATTTGATTTTTTGATTTAAAGTTAATTTATCTTTGTCTTTTCTGCTGGTAGATAAAGTTGTAGTTTTTGTAGAACTAGTTACCTCATCGAAATCATCAGGAGTTGGATTAGTATGTTTGTAAGCCGTAATCTTTTCGTATTTATCGGCCTTATAAATCTTTCGATTAATCCATTTAAAATAAGGCGATATCCTGGTAAAAATGCTTGGTGTTTTTGTGCAAAGTTCATCTGAGGGATGGCTCAATATACCAACTTGTCTCTTCCTATAAACTAACGGACTGCCATTATCCGCGCGACAAAACGTTACCTTTTTATTCGTACACTTTGGAATAGCACAAAGTTGTCTCTTCGAAACGTTATTCTTGATATCGAAAGTTTTCCTAAAATACTTCAAACACCTCCTATTCGATATAGTCTTCAATCTTATCTTTCTTAAGGTCGAATACGGAACGGATTCGTGAAAGGCACAAGTTTCCCAGCCAAGCATGCTACAACGGCGTCCTTTCTTGATACGACGCCTGGAAAGTTTAATTCCATGCACTTTCGAACCAAATATCAATTCAGACTGCAAACGTAATAGGGCTATATCGTAATCCATCGTGTATTTATTGTATTTTTCGTGTTTAAATATTTTGAACACCTCTATAGTTTGTTCGGAAAATTTTTGGGCGTCACCTGCTAAAATTCTATATTTCCAATGAGCTTTTCCACTGAAAGAATGAATTAAAAATCGAACATGCAAGCAATAAAATACATCAAAGTATTTAGTTTAAATTGGTTTAATTATTGGACATGATGGTAAATAAGTATTTTTTGATGCAATAGTTGATGAAGTAGTGGTATTTCTTAATTGTGTAATATGTAATACAGAATTATTTATTGCAGCATTATTTAATGTTTGATTATTTAACATAGTACTTCTTGTAGTTGTTGGATTTGTAGTAGTAGAAGTGGTTGTAATAGGAGTTGTGCTAAAACAGCATTTTTCATTCGTAAGTTTTAATACATTTTCAAACGAACATTTTTCTCCGTGTAAATGCATGTTTGTTGAGATCCAATTAATGTAGGATGAAATTCTCGTAAAAATGCTTGGGGAATTGCTAGAAAATTCCGTGTTGGGATTACTCAATATCCCAATTTGCTCGTTTTTATGTACTAGGGGGCTTCCGGAATCGATGGAGCATAACCCGGTGGCGTTTTTCCTTTTTGATGTAATAATTGCGCACGTTTTGTTATGGTTTAAATAAGCAGTGGCGTTAGGTAATCTTGCAAAATGATTTACACATTTTTTTTCGCTTATGGTTTTCATGCAAACTTTTGATAGATAAGAGTATGGTTTTTGATCCTTTTCAAGGCAAGGATTCCACGATAGAATTGAACAACTCGTTTTGCTTATGTAGTTCATTGTTAGAGGGATTGAATGTACTTTTCTTGAAAATTTTAACGGATTTTCTAAAGCAACGAGTGCTATGTCGTTACAATACGTCGCTAAGCTGTAACATTCGTGAAGAACCACTTTCGTAACCTTCATTTCTTGACCTGAAGGCTTCGACATATCTCCGGCTAATATCGTAAATCCCATTTCGTTGTTATTGTAGCTGAAATTATAATGATGAGTAGAATCAAAAAATTGTGATGTGAGTTGTTGGGGGTGATGTATTTGTATGATTTATGTATGTATTCTGCTCCATCATAATTCTTTTTAGTCTTTTTATATATTCATGATAATGTTGGAGTTTTAAGGTGCTCCGATCCATCTCCATATCTAACATTACCCCGTTGAATTCAATTTGGCACAGAGAACTAGCGCAATATCGTTCTCACGAATTCATATTCGTGGAGAATCACCCAGACACGTTGTACTTTGCGCCGGATCCAGGCGTCATTATCCGTAAACTGGGGGGATTTGGGTACCAAAAAGACTCAAAATAACTACGACATAGTGAACGTAAACTTTTATTAAAGCTTAAAAGAGGTTTTAAGTGTTTCCTTTGATTTTGTTATCATTATCCGTTATTGGAAAAGCGATATTCTTGCATCATAAAATTTCAAAGGATAAAATATAAAAATTTGTTTCTAAATTAAAGCAAAAATACTTCTTAATCGTTTTCACGTTAACTGAAACGTAATCCTGAAATCGCATTATCGAGTTTAAACGTTCCCTCTTCAACACAACGTTTTACACTCGATTTGTTTTGAAATGGGGGGGAATAACACCAAAACAAAAAGGGTTCTTCACTTTTATTGCAACCCATGCTTCATGGATGAGTAGGTTTTTTATCATCTATTTTAATAATTTTAGCAGTATTAGTTGTGTGGTTTACCCAATTTATGTATAAGCTAACTTTCGTGAAAATAACTGGTTTTCGATATTTCCCAACGATTGATGTGATCCCTATTTGTCTATCTTGATAAATTAACGGATTTCCAGAGTCATTTTCTGATAAATCTAATCCCCGATATTTATACCAAGCGCAAAAATTCGAAATCGTCACCACAACATTCGTTTCTTTATAAATATCTTTACAGTATTTATCAGCCATAGTCGAAACGTGCACGAATCTTGGCCTAAACACTCCCGTTTCATTATCACCACTCCAACCCAACGCCAAACAATCCTTCAACCCAATTTCTTCAGACGATAAAGTAATCGCTTGGATCGCACCGTTGAAATGAAAAATGCTGTTAATTTTAACTAAAACGATATCATTTTCTAAGTCATCTTTACGATATTTAGGATGTTTAACGACATCGTCAATAGTATAATTCTTCCCAAAATGAAAACCAGTTGTAATTAATAAGTTAACGGCCACATAACTAGAAACGTGAAATATAAGCAACATCACACCAATTCTTGGCCATCATCATACGTAATTGCCGTTTTTATTCTCCAAATATCTTCAAAATCTTGTTTATTTTTTGAAATCTTCTTAATTAAAACAAAATTAAAGTATTTTTTGTGGTGTGTTGTTGTAATGAGTGAGACGGCAAATACTAATGAGATGACCTCAAAAAGAAATTTCTTACCGATCGAAACAATGTGCAGCAGATAAAACCCATTTTTGAGTAATTATCGATCCTCCGCATATTAAACCATCGGCGGCGTGTAAAATAGCGACTTGATATGGATATTGTCCTTTAAAAGCGGTGTAACCAGCTACGATGCGTTTAGTTACGTTACGATCTACATCATTACATCCTAAAAATGTTCTCCAATCTAATTTCGAAATATATATCATCCTCCATGCTTACCGATTAGATACAACCAGAAACTGAATAATGTTAATACGCGTATAAGCATTGTAAAATCATTATTAATGACCACCCCGTGTCAGGTGATCTTGACGTTTATCTTGTCAAGATGATTGATGACAGTTTTTGGTTTTAATTGCCTTTCGTTATTTAAAAAAGTTAAATTCATAGTTGAACAATGGAGTATTTGAGAAATTCAATTCGGGAACTCTGTTGGATGCAAAAACCACCCCGTCGGGACTTAAAATTTTCAATTCGAGCATCTGGTAGGTCTGAATTAATTTAGTCCGTTATCTGTGCAGCGACACTTAGATCCCTACTATTGTTGCAAGTCCGAACCGGTAGGATTTGGAGTTTCAGCATTTTCAAACTTTAATACCTGCTGCGACGCTTCCAGCCTCGTTTCCTTTAAAATTGACCCGTCAAGGTATGAAGGCACGCCATCGACAGGAAATCGTTCCGACATCATAACTTATCGATTCGACGTTTCCAACGGCGCGATACCGAGTTTATCTTTCGTCGGAAAGTGCCAGCTCATTGAGTTAAATGCGCCGCGTGTTCCTTTGCACCAAACGGTAAATTTATACGTCGCCGATTCTACTTTTCCTTCGTGGCAGTAAAGCTTTTTAACTTCGTGGGCGCTACTGGAAAACTACCTCCACGTCGCCGTTTATATTCCTTTAGGGGGGAGTCGAAAGATAAAGCTTTCAGCCTCGGAATTAATGTTCAGAGCTCGATTAGAATATTTGTTTATTTGCGACGTACTGTTGAAGGGAAGGTTGAGAGAACTGAGAGTTATCTGATTCAGCTTTTGTGTTTACTCATTGCTCTGGAAACGTGGTTGGATACATTCATCATAGAACGGGTGTATTCTAAAGGGGTCTTGGGATTCTATAAGGTCGTATTTAACTGCTTTATTGTATTGTTAACTGTTTGAGTGTTTGTATGGATTTATGAAACTATGTTGGGATTGTACTGAATTGTAATACTTATTGAACTGCTCTAAATCTCTACTTTCAACAATCAATTTCACTTGTGATTTACTTGTACTTCATTCATTTATTCCATTAAGATTCACTGCTTGAATAGTTGTTTTGAAAGAATCCATTAGTCAATAAAAATTATTTGTGCTATAATTCTCTAGTCTTATTCATGTATTTCGATGTACCTAAATACCTACAGTATATACGTTGCTACAGAGCAGCATTTATAGATACCGACATTTTTTCCAAATCTTCCTCTTTAATAGGACTTGTATTAATTACGGAATAAACTATATGGATCGATGTGGTGCTGTCAATGTTGTGAAATATTAGGTAGTTCGTCGAATATTGACGATTTGACATCATGTTGCCCGAGTACAGTCTGAGTTGAATATTTGTCTTATCAGGGTTGTAGCAAAAACGTGGGTTATATGGAAAAGAATCTTGGTCGTTACAATTATAGTAAATGTGGAAATCCTGGGAAGTGTCCACGACATGGATTAATACCGACACACGTCAATAACGGCATGAAAATCGTTAATTCTTTGATGGTTGGAGCCAGAGGTGCAATCACTGGAAGGATTCGTGAATTTAATGATGGGTTGGCGGTAAAAGTACTTAGTTTTGAAATCGATATTACCTTTTATGATTTAAAAAAGATTAAGGCTACTATTATGCAAATAGAACGTAGGCTTGTAGATAGTTTTTACCTATTAAACGATTTCGAACAAAGATTAAACTTCTCATACACGAAAATTTTTAATAATACATAGAAATTAAATATAAAGAAGTTTAAGAAACAGCAAGAAGGGTTTAACTTTAACAATGTATGTAAAAATAATGACAGGTGGTTTATTAATAGAAGTAATGTTGAAGTTCCCGAAATTGTAAAGAATTTTTTGTCTTTGGGTCCAAAATTTGGTTTGGTACCTGATACGACTTCGATTTCGGTTCCCAATTTGCTTGCAGAGGTTGAATCAGTTATTAAGCTGGCCCCTAAATGCGAACAAAATGTAAAGAGGGTTGCACCAATGTTATCACTAATTTTTTACAAGGAAGATTACGCTCTCAGTCTTTAATAAAAAAAGGCATTTTTATCAACTAAAGCATTTCTGAGGAAAGATAGAGATGACCCTCTCCTCATCTTAAAGGCTGATAAGAGTCAAGTTACCGTTTGTATGAATGAATCAGAGTACATACAAAAATCTATTAGTTTATTTGGCGATCAGTTCACATATACAATTTTAAGTTAAGATTCTACCTCCACCATACAGAACAGAAATAATAAATTCTCTAAGTTACTGCTAAAAAGGGAGTACATTGACAAAAACACTTATATGAGATTGATTTGTCATAATGGTGTAGCACCCAGATACTACGGAGTTCCAAAAATTCAGAAACATGATTGTTCCTTGCGCCCTATTATTTCTTTTGTTGGTTCACCTACATATCAACTGTCTAAATTCTTTGCTGAAATTTTGAGTCAGGCCTTCAGTCACCTATAACATCAAGGACACGTTTACTGTTGTTGATAAAATAAAGGATTTGAAGTTATCACAAGGTTATGTATTGATTTCACTTGACGTGGCTTCATTATTCACTAACTTTCCCTTAGAGTTGGTAAAAAAACTTATCACTACTAAGTGGGACTTTTTGGAAATGACAACATCTATTGACAAATAGCTGTTCGTCGAATTGATAGTGTTTTTGTTTGATTCATCTAATTTTATTTTTGATAAAAAGAATTACAGCCAGAAATTTGGTACTCCAATGGGGAGTCGTCTCAGCCCCATTTTAGCTACTATGGTTATGGATCATCTTTTGGATGAGTGCGTTCTTTTACTCAATTTTACTTTTCCCTTCATCTTTAAGTATGCAGATATTATCTATGCGGTTCCCTCAGACCAAATTAACAGTCTTCTTGACGTATTTAATGGTTTTCATCCACATTTACAGTTTACTGTTGAGACCGAGATTAACTCATATGTACCTTTTCTGGACACGAAGGGTATTAGAAATGATGACCAGACCATTATCTTAGATTGGCACACTAAATCCACATACTTGGGTAAATTCATAAATTTTTATTCCAATCATCCTATCAATCAAAAGAGATGGAGGGATAGAATTAAATTAATTTCCAACATTGTTTTTTGGGAAAGCAATAAGAAAAAGGTCGTTTAGCATTTCCATTAATAATGGCTTTCCACCTCGTCTTTTGGATGGTCAAAATATATTTTATAGTATATATTTATGATCACTAAATACAGGGTCCGGCAGTGAAAAGGAAAGATTTGTGGTAGGGTTTACAACGCGCCGCAAACTGATGGGGAAGAAAGTAGCCGACTTGCCAAAACCTGTATGATTTGCCATTTAGTTTACAATGGAGCGTTGGAGGGGGGGAATCGTGGTTACGCAGTTAAAGCCTATTTTCAAAATGGTGAGATTTCGTCAAATGGAATCATCGGTCCATACTTTTTTGAGCATGATGCTGAAAATATCGTTACCGTTAATTCTGTACGACACGTTGCAATGATTCAGAATTTTTTCACACTACAACTTGAAGGCTTTCCAGTGAATGAACACACACTTTTTCAACAAGACGGGGCAACAAGTCACACTGCAAGAATTTCAATGAACGCCGGTTCTAGACAGGAAGTTGTTGCACCTCGGTGACGTCATCCGCCCAATGTAAAAGGATAGGGAGGGGTGCCAACCAAAGGCTTGGGGGGAAAAATAGGTTGGTAACTAGATCTGGTGTCTTTTCCAATACCAACCTATTTTTTTTTCACCTCAGCCTTAGGTTGGTACCCTTCCCTATCCTTTTACATTGGGTTGATGACGTCATGTGGTGCGGAGGTGGTGCTGTACTGCAACTTCCTGTTAAGAATCGGCGTTTCTATACTACTGCTGTAAATGCTTTGAAACGGGGATATCAGGTGGCCCCCTCGGTCTTCCTACCTAACCGCATGCGACTTCTTTCTTGCACAGTTTGAGTTTGCAAAACTTTGAGGCACGACTCCAAGAATGCATAAATTGTAACGGAAGACATTTGGCTGATGTAATATTCAAAAAATAATTTTTTTGACATTGTAAACCAAATGGCTACTCTCTTATTTTCCATTAATGTATTAAAAATTATTAAAAAAAATATTCTTTAACAATAAAATTATTTATGAAATCTTTCCGTTTCACTGCCGGACCCTGTATATAAAAATTCCTTATCTACGCGGTCTCACTAAAGAATTCTCTACTATCGTCTGAAACTCTGAGGTTTTCTAACACCAATTTTTTACCTCTTTCCAGTCTATTCTCAAGAACTAAAGAACCTGTACCGTTGTTATGCAAGTCAAATGTCATCTATAAGATCTCATGTAGTAATTGCGATGGTTCATATTTATATAGGAACTACTTCTCAATACTTATCTAGCGGTATCAACCTGCATAAGAGAGATTGTCAAGCACGCCAAGAAAGAAAGAGTGTTTTAGTTGCGCATCACGTTAAGGAAGGGCACCACTTTGATTTTGATAATATCTCTATACTTGAAAAGGAATTGAATTACAATAAGAGAATCTTTCTAGAAATGGTTTATATTAATAGGGAAGTTGGATCGGTGAATTTTAGAACGGATACTGAAAATTTCATTTAAATTTAATATCATTTATTTAGTTATGCCTTCCTAGTTACTAATAATTGGTTTTCCAGTGATAACTCTAGTTGCTTTTTTTTAGGTTTTTTGATCTCTTTAACTTATTTGGCTTTCTTGATATTTTTACAGTTTTAGATAGAATTCATTTCATTGTTTTTGTTATTAAATTTTGGAATTGTAGGGTTTCATATTTTCGACGCCACCTTTTGTTATTTTTCTGAAATAAAGATCGTTTTTTTTCCCTTCCTTGTCCCTTTGGTTCTTACATGTAAGTCTGGGTTTTTCAACTTTTAACGTGGCTGGAATTTTATAATTTAGACGTTTATGTTTTTAAATTGCAGTTTAACGTTATTTTGTGCTTAATTTATTGAAACTTTGATAATGTATTTGTTTACTATCCTATTTTTGAGTATTGAAAACTGAGTATCCAGGCTTACGTTATGTATTTGGCATTTTTTTGCTTCCATTTGTAAGTATTGTTTAATTTTAATTTTTTTTAATTGTAAGTCTTGGCCCTTGTTTTGTTTTAATCGATTAGTTTTGCCCTGAAGAAGGAATAAAATTATTCCGACTTTGTTTTAATTTCCATTGTATGGTCGATTCCCAGGATTTCCACATTTACGTTAGTGGGTTAGTTAGGCTTACATCATGGGTTATGGTATTGTACAGTATTCAAGGTCGATGGTGTGTGATTCGAGCTGAATTTCCCTTCTGCTGAATCGCAATCTTAACACTGACCAGCCACTTCGTTTTGGATCTCCCCCTTCTTCTGCTATAATCTTCTTTGGGAGCCTCTTATCATCACGTTATCAGATGGTGTAGAGTCTCGACCATGCTTACAGGACAAGGAAATAGATGGAATGTTCTTTGCCATA